ATTCCCAGACTACGCATCATCACTACTATCTCAGAACAAGGTATATTACTTATCAGTGACAAGATTACAAAAACAGAATTACAATCCAATTAAATTTCTGAAACTAAAATAACTTCAACTATACAATTATGTTTATAAAAGCATATCAACTTAAAGCAAAATAATTATGCACTCAATGCTTTCACCTAGAATTTCACTTACAGGTTCCTCTTCTGATGAATGCTTCTACAATATTTGGAAAATATATCAATTGGCTCACAAACACTTTCTAAACCACACAAATCTAGTCTAGAACAGAAAGATAATTAATGTGGTTTAATACAACAGTGAGCATTCCAAGGAGAAAACAAATACAGGCAATAATTTCCAGCACAATAAAAGGTAGCTGTAAATAACAATATATTCTGAAGTTCTCGTCATGTTTCACAACAGCATTCTAAACAAACTAAAAATACTATGGAAACTTTAAAATTATTTCAAAAGGTACGCCTCAAATCTTTTGAGGATGGAAACCTTATCCCTGTAACTTTTTGGTTTTTTAAAACAATTTAATTTAAAAAGAACACAACCAGATGCAGCGTGGAAAAAAACAAACATTTTACCAATAATATTAAACCACAATGTCTGATCATCCTATTTATCAATCCATAACTTCAGTAATTTAAAATGCAGATTTTAAAATTTTAGACAAGTTATTTTATACAACACAATACCATTTCTAAAATACTATTAAACACGAAATCATTCACACTCAATTTACAGGAAGCAATGAGTCACTCTCGAAATAATAGGAGTGTGCAATTTGAAGAGATAACAAATATTTTTCTTTTATATTCTTATGCCTCGACAATGTAACAGCAATTGTGAGAAAAGTCGATCAAGTATAAAACAATTCAAATTCTTGAATTTGTTTTTAGGTAAACGGTATCCCAGATTAATAAGAATTCTATTTTTGTATTAGACAGTGTCATAATGGAGTGCATAAAGACAGGTAAAATGAAAACTCAGTGAAGAATTCAGCAGCATTAAAAAATTTACATTGAATAACAATTTCCAACTTTGGAACAAAAAGCCCTGAATTTGTAAAGAATTTCTTAAGATTTTCTGATGTAGATACTACAGCGTTGACTGAATTGCTAATCAGTTTCTTACAGACGTAAGATAGCTTGGCGTTTAGAAACCTACATCACAATTCTGAGAAGTGACATATCTATTGAGTGTGTTATGAGCTTCACATTTTATACACTGCAACTACTATGTAAAATTAGTTCAGCATTTTTAAACCCAAGGAACTCACGCAGTTAAATTTTAATGTCCCATCTGATAGAATTTTAGATTTGATTATGTTCATGGATTTCACTAAGGAAAAGAAAGATATTCACTTCTAATTCTGCCTTCCCAAATTACTCAAGTAATTTTCTCAGTCTCTCAATAACTATTTTCAAATTGTACCTCACATCAATTCTAGTCAAAATAGTTTGAAGTGAATTTGGGGTTGGAAAAGGACTGACTGACAATAAAGACAGTGCAGAACTCTTACAAGTATTGGCTCAGACAAACGTGTAAGTTCTGAAGTATCAAAATGTAATTACTGAAGTAAATTATTGCTAAGTGATCATTAAAATCATAAATTTTAATAACAAATATCAAACTGGTTACATTCACACTTGAGTCACTTCTTAAAGGCATAAAGTGATGCAAGAAATTTTGTGTTCATGTGTGGATTTTTATGAAGTCCTCAGCAATTCACAAGCCTAGAAATTATGAAAGTAATAAACTAAACTATATTTCAAGGATAACTTTGTTTCTTAGTTGAAAGGTCTTAAGAATGCAATAGATTTCTGAAATATATTTTCAGGTTTTAAATAATTGTGGCTATAATTCTATGGTAAGAAATTTATAAATACAAATTTAATAATTAATTTAAAACAAACATCATTCCAGATGGTGTTCTTTTCTGAGAATCCGAGTCTGTTTTGACAATTTAGATATCAGTATTTATTAGATATATTTAGATTACAGATAAAAATATGAGCCAAAACCATTCAGGTTTTTTTTGAAGAACTAGCACAGAACATGAAGCCACAAAGAAACAATGTTTATACAATTTTAGAAATACATTTTATTTCAGTACCATTGATATTTATTGTTGTTTCAAATTTGTTTGAAACACCTTCCAGATGGTCGAGGGTGTTGCTTTAATAATGAAATATAAACTAAAGCAGTGTCAATATGTTTAGTGTCACAAGCATTCTTTGTTAAACCGAAATACAAGATGATTAATCCTTTAACAGTATTGAAGACAATAGTTGAAAGCATTATGCCATATGATAAACAACACAGCTATAAACATAGCAATTCTACCTCATCTATGTACAAATACATGCTCAATGCATCTGTTGCAATGTTTCCTATGTAATTCAAGAGACAGAAAGAGTTAGAAAATTTACAGCACAGAAACAGGCCATTCAACCAAATACATTTATCCTGCCATTATGCTCCATGTAAATGTGTGCTTAACTTATTTCATCTCATCTTATCAACAGTCTTCCTTATGCACGTAGCAAATTGAAACACTTCTTCGCTATTTGCCTCATACATTCCACAAATGACAAGTAAATAAGTAAGTATCTCCTCTAGTCCTTACTGTATTTATGAGTGCCAGTCTAATACTTACAATCCCTACAAGAGTTTTTGATTATCCAGTGGAAACATTTTCTCTACATCTACCCTTTCAGGTCCCTTCATATTTTTAAAGATCTCCATTATTGGTCACCTCAATTTTTTTTTTAAACCTGGTCATTAGAATATCTCAGCTCATATACCAACAAAATTTTCGTAGCTTAGTTTTACACTTCCTCCAGTGCTGCTAGATATCTTTTGTAATATGGAATCAAGAAATGCCAAAAAGTACAGTCCAACCAAACATCTACACTTATCTCACCTACTTTTGAATTCTATTCCTCCAGAAATGAATGCAAGGACTTTATCTGCACCAAAATGAGTTTGGTAACTTGATTTGCTACTTTTAAATGATTTGCTAATCTGTATCCAAGGATCCCACCGCAACCCCTTAAGGCTGCTGTTTTCTCAGGAGCAGGTCCCTTCCTCATTCCTCCTGGCAAAACGCACAACTGCATTTAACTAAATTGAAGTTTCTTTGTCAATAACCTACCCGTTCTGCAAGTTTAAGACAGAACTCACGAATAGTCTTTATTCGCGTACGAACATTTGTGAAAAAACACACTTGTCAAGATGATCCAAAATAATAACGCGTTAACACTTCAGAAATGTCACCCTGTTCCATGGTTATGCATCGACAAACAATCCAAAAGCCCAAGGTGAAGCATATCCAGTTGTGCACTTAATATTAAATTTGAAAGTTTTCAACGAAGTCCCATCCTGCACGTTACCATACCAATGACTACGCAAGGAACAGCAAAAGCAGTTTTCCTATGATGCTGGACGTACTGCACGTCCACATAACTAATTAGAATTTTAATCACAATACAACAAGACAACCAAAAATCATAAAGTGAAGTTGTTTAGATGGCAGTGTTAAAAATACTGTCCTAAAAAAGTAGTATTTGCTTTTCAGCTTCAGTCACTTTCATTAACAAACTTTTTCGTAAACTAGCACACACCCCTATTAACATGTTAGAGGTGCCGCACATCTTCACAAGTACAGCTAAAACACATGCGTCAGCGATTTCGAAACAAAAAAAAGCCGGAAAAATCATGATTTGACAGAATAAACATTGCATCTTCTTTTCAGGAAGAAGCACTAATCAATCAGCCTGATCTGAAAATATTTGCTAACCTATTGACGTATGGATATTTTCGAGAACCACTTCTAATGCTCTTTCGAATATTCTCAAAGTTAATCTTGCACTTATCATTAAAAGCGATTCTAAGATACTGAGCAATTAAATAGCGGGAAAGAAACGTCGCTGTACTCAAATGTAATCTTCCATTTCAAACATTTGTGTGAAATCGAAGTTATGCATTATCGGTTTAAACGAAATATTCATCGCGTTTTTCTCAAAAAAATATTATTTAAAAGTAGCTGCCGGTAATGCTTACACATCATTTCACAAGTCTTGTTTATATTAACACTCCACTAAATATTTAAGAGATCTATATTCGAGTTATCACTGAGAACTCGTTAAAGCCACAGAATAAGAGAAAACAAAATGGTTTGTGATATTTTCTGTCCTTTTTGATAATATTTAAGAAAGTCTTAATGACTAACAACAAACAATAAAAAGTAATATCCAATTCCTACAACTTATCCACCCTCCCCCTCCTCAACACAAGAACTGCATGTTTGTCTAAAGCTACTCACTTCACCCAATCGTCCAAAGATCAAAGAGGCAATTTTAAGTTTTATTACTTTTCATGTAGCACTCTCGAGCCTCTTCAAAAGCGGCCGGACCTCAAAACCTGGTTAAAATTAGTTTTGGATGAACAGGCAACTGAATTTTTGTTTGCTTGTTTCTTCCAAAGCATATCCGAAACAAAACAAATGTCGGGGGTGGGGGGGAACGAGAGTGCTTTTAACGTGGAACATTCTGTGAAAAAAATTCATTAAAAATCTTTTAAAATTCTTTCTGGTCTCGTTGCAGGTTGGACAGAAGACGTTGCTCCAAGTTTGTCGTTCCCTCTTCAATGCTGTCGTTAAACATAAAACAACATACAAAAGAGACCCAAATCCGTAACAGAGCTCAAGTAATAAAGTGAATAAAGTGGTCAAACTCCCCAATGCTATAAGGCGGCGGTAAGTTGATTTATCCTCAACCTTGACGATGAGTTGGGATCGGTTTTGGAGAAGTTGTTTCCTCTTTTTTCTACTGCCGTTGCCCTCCGTCTCTCTCAGACTCTGAGGTACAAACGGGGGCACAACTTTTTTTTAATCCCCTCTCTCACAACATGATTTAAATAACCCTGATAAACTATGTCAAAAAGGAAATAACACCGGACAAAATTCAACAAGAACTTACCACGGGACTTTCAACATCACTTTTCCGCATTTTTTTCCGGCTTTAAACAATTATTCGATTTTTTAAAAATTTTTTTCTCATATTTTTGTTTCACCGCAGGCCTAAAAATTGTTTGCTTTAGCCTCCTTCCAGCGGCCATTGTATACGCGCTGCGCCTCCACCTACCTTAATGGCGGACATCCCGCCCCCATCCCCCTATCCCATTGGATGAAGTGCGCAGACGGCGGGGACTAGGCGGGCAGTGCGTGAATAAATCCCAAATCTATTGGTTATTATAGCTATCTATCAATGTCAATCGTAGGTTTCCGTCATCAAGTTAGGTTCTATTTGTCTTAAAGTGCGCGCGCGCCTGTCTATGACGTTGTTCGTTGATGTGTTCTGGTGGAGAAGGTAAGGTTGAAGTGAGAAGGAGGGTAGGAGGAGACAGGAAAGAGAAAAGAGGGAGGTGGAAGAGAAGACAAGACGGTGTGCAGAAGAGGTATATCTAGATAGATAGAGGCTATGGGAGTGGGGCAGAAGGGAAAGAAATGAGTACGAGTACGAGGGGAGGAATTTTGGACATATACAAACAGACAAGAAGTTAGAGAAACTTTTTTTGTTTAATGTGATGGGGTAGTGCATTGAATTAATTTAACAAACAGTTCAACTTGTGGTAACCTGTAATAAGTACATCTTTCTTTTCCTTGTTGGCCTTTACTGGTTTCTAGTGCCTCCAATTTAAAACCTTCAGCTCCTTATTTAAACCGCATTATAGCCATACTGATCACAATTTTCACCTACTAATCTATATCTGTACCTTCCATCTGTCTTTCTACTCTTCCAAACAGATTCTTATTGCGTACCTCCATCCCCTGCACTGGCAGTTATGCCATATTGTGAAATTCTTTTCCTAAACTACTTTGCTTCACTTTCCTCTTGAGACTCCCCATTAAAACCCAACATCTTTGGACAAACTTTCAGTTATCTCTTGTACAGGGCTCTGAATTATTTTGAAGAATTAAATGTATGTAGTTGTTTGCAATATCTCATGTTGTTAACCCCCATTTGATTAGCATGGATCAAGACACTGGACCACTCTCTCACTAATCTTACCCATTTTCAAAATTAATTCTGGTAACTTGGATATTTTATTTCATGTGTCTGTAGCAAAGGCAAAATTCATGAAGTTAACCCATTAATGTTAAGTTTTCTTAGCATGATATATTTTGTTGAGTAGAGTACGTTCTATATTTTTGAATATGCTGCAAAGAAATATTGATGACGCCTCTTGCACTCGTCAGTGTTAATGTCTTTGTATTGCTTTTTTTAAATTCCTTTTTGTCATTCAGTCTTTTTAATGTATTTGTTTTGATGATATTTTTGTTCGGAAGTGCAAAGCACAGTTGTGATGTGGCAGTCTCCCATTGCACATCATTACGTACGGCTCACTCATTTAACAGTCTTAAGATTTGATTTGTTTTAGTTTACTGGCCCAATATGTAGAGATCTTGTTTAAACATACACAGAATTGAAGTATTTTTAAATGTACTGTACTTTTATGACCTTTTTATAAACTTTAAATGAAATTAACCAGTTTCTACATGCCAGATGAAACTGCCACATTGTTTGTAAGATTGGATAAAATTATAAATTTTGTTGTCAGGTACTGTAAAAGCATAACTCAGAATGCCGGGAAATGTACGAAAATTAAGAGATGAAGACACTAATCCTTGTCTTGAGGTAGGAGTATTGTTAAACGCCAACTGTTTATTTTTAACTATGTTTGTTAACTGATGTGACAAATGCTCCATTTTTATTTAAAGGAAACAGATGCCTCCAGGAAGTGTCTAGAAGCAAACAGTTATAACAAAGATATGTGCACCGACTATTTTCTGAGGTATAAAACGTGTAGGAAGTTCTGGGTAAGTGTGACTGAAGATTTGACTGGTAGATTTTATCAGAAGACAGATTTTTGAGAAAGAAAATCAGCCAGAAAGTTGGCTGGATTCACTGATATTACATAACCCAGCCTGGATTTTCTAATTGAGGTAAACTATCCATTCCATCTTCAGTGCAAATGTAGGTGGAAAGTTCTTCAGCCTTCTTGTAACACTACCATTTCCAGAATCTTCTGTTGGAGGTGATGCAGAGCTTGAAATGTACTGGCACAATAAACCTCACTTTTTCTGAACTATGAATTTTGTTTAACTTATCAATAACCATTGACCAACAACACCACTATGGTAAATTTTATTGCATAGCTCAGTTAATGTAGTACTACTTTGACAAGTTTTGCAGAAATAATTATTTATTTTGAAACAATTTTTTTTTCTTTTTGAAGAACAACATAATGATTCAAAGACGAAGAAATGGTATTAGCCCTGACATGCCAACTGCAAAGGATAGAAAAGAAATTCTGGAAGAATGCATAAAAAAGCCCTATTGATGTTTTTGATTCTGAGAAAACAATCAATGTGAACAAATCCACTTGAATAATTTCAATGTGCAATTTTAATCTAAAAGTTTTTATTAATGAATGCAAGTGTAACACTTGACTTTTGCAATGAAAGAGCTCAAGGATATCTTAATGTCTATCTACAATTTTCAGATAATGAATACCTAAAAGCAGTCTTAAATTGTGATGGGGAATAAAAGGAATTATTGGAACAAAGTTTTTTTAATAAATAGGTACATTTATAGGAGGATTACTGTCTTTAATTTGTTATATTGACCTTTTGTAGAGTACCAGGGAGGATGGCTGAAACTAGGAATTCTATTTTAGATTGAGATATATTGTGTGTTAACCTGCCACTATTAATTCACATGTTAATAAATGCCCCATCACCAACTTATAAAATTAGACAGTGTTAATGGGAAACAACACTGCTTGGAGGAGCAGTGAACATCTACAGAGGTAGAATGAAACAAATATCAGATGCTGCACTACAACATTCTATCTCGCTTCACTAAAAACCTCCTTCAGTATAATATTTAGGCCCAGGCCTATCAACGTATAGAATGTGCAGGGAAGGTCCTGAGGTTAACTTGTCCATACTTCATTCATTTGCAGATGGCTTAGTGTTCACTTTAGTAATTGTTATCACCCATGTTTGGATCATATACTTATCGCTTCTGGATTTCACAGTGAGCAACAAAGTGAGGATACTTGTCACTGACCTTGAAGAAAGTTGCCCATTAAAGAGCTAGCACCCTGTATAAGTTTTATCTAATTTTAGTTATGTTTTTGTGTCAGCATATGGGGATCACTGGTGTTTGTTGTCTTTCAGCAGTCAATCATGCTTTAAAAAATTTTTTTAAACTTTGACATTTTTGCTGTGAAAGTTGGCAGTTAATATGCTAAATTATATCTGGGGCAAGAGATTGTTCTTTGGTAGTTATGAATTTAATATGTTAAAACTCAATTCCACCTTATTCAATAAAAGTACACTTGAGGCTTGGTTAAATTAGAGAAATGGCATAAAAATAAAATTTCACATTTAAATGATTGCTAAGGAAAGAGCATACCTAATGAAACAGTAGGAAATCAGTGACAGCACCTTTGGCTTTTGGTATTTAATTACACAGCGCAGACACCAGAATTTGTTACCCAATTATAATGAGTACAACTCTTGGCAGTTTTACCATGGGTCCAAATGTTGCATTGTAACAATGTCTTGTAATTTTAGATAGGCCTAACAATTGTATGCTACAAAAATATTCTTCCACCATAACTTTGTCCTGCCTTTTAATCTACCTACCAGTTCACTTTAGCTATTTCTGCCTTCATACTGTCATAGTTGCTGTCTGGTTTAAAACACTAATAGGAGACTTAGTCTTCTCTTTCAAACTGAAAGTAAAATTGTCACATTGTGATCACTGTCACTTGGATGCTCCTTTACTACAAGTATTGATTAATCTTGTCTGATAGCACATTACCAAGGCAGCAGGCTATCTTAGATTTAGTAGGCTCTGGAATGTACTGATCTAAGAAATTGCCCCAGAAGATGTTCATGAAATAAATTTCCAAGCTGCCTTTACCAATCCGATTTCCTTTCTTCCCCACCTCACCAATCCATGACTGATTGATTACTTAAGTACACACCTTACATGTCCCATTTATTTCTTCTTGTCTGGTTTGTCCAAAAGTGTAACTACTGGTGGGGGGTTATAAATTAGTCCACAAGTGACTTCTTACCAGTGTTATTTATTATATATACCCAAACTGATTCTACAGCTTGATCCTTGATCAGTTACTCACTAGTCAATCAATGTATAGCTTTCACTGGATGCCAATATTCACTTTCACTTAACTCCAAAAATATATCTTATGTATAAAGTTAATAAAAGTTCATTACAAACCATTTCCATGTGAACAATACAGAATTTACAACAAATTTCAACTTGTCGTAGAGATGTGCAGCACGGAAAGGGACCCTTTGGTCCAACACGTCCATGCTGACAATTATCCTAAATAAATCTAATCCCATTTGCCAGCATTTGGCCCATATCTTTCTAATCCCTTTCTATTCCTATACCTATCCATTTGCCTTTTAAGTGTTGTAATCGCACCTGCCTCCACCACTTCCTCTGGCAGTTAATTCCATACATGTGCCACCCTCTGCATGAAAAAAGTTGCCTCCCAGGTCCCTTTTAAATCTTTCCTGTCTCACCTTAAACCTAGGCCATCTAGTTTTGGTCTCCCCTACCTTGCGGAAAATACCTTGGCTATTCACCCTATCCATGACCCTCATGATTTTATAAAATCCTACTAGGTCACCCTTCAGCCTCTGACGCTCCAGAGAAAATAGCCCCAACCTATTCTGCCTCTCCCTATAGCGTGAACCCTCCATTCCTGCCTATATCCTTGTAAATTTTTTCTGAACTCTTTCAAGTTTCACAACATCTTTCCTATAGCAGGGAGACCAGAATTGAACGCAGTATTCCAAAAATGGCTTAACCAACATCCTGTACAGATGCAACATGTTCTCCCAACTCCTACACTCAATGCACTGACTAATAAAGGCAAGCATACCAAATGCCTTCTTCACTACCTTGTGTGCCTGTGACTTCAGTTTCAAGGGCCTATGAACCTGCACACCAGTGTTCAGCAACACTCCTTAGGACCTTACCATTAAGTGTATACATTCTGTCCTGATTTGCCCAACCAAAAGGTAGCACCTTACATTTATCTGGATTAAACACTGCCACTCCTTGGTGCAACAGCCCATCTGTTCAAAGTCCTGTTGTACTCTGGAGGTAATCTTTGCTGTTCACTACACCAGCAATTTTGGTCTCATCTACAAACTTACTAAGCATACCTACTGTATTCACTTCCAAGTCATTTATGTAAATGACAAAAAGCAACAGCAATTCTTGTGGCACACCGCTGGTCACAGGCTTCCAGCCTGAAAAGCAACCATCCACCACACTCTGTCTCCTACCTTCGAGGCCGTTTTGTATCCAAATGGCTGATTCTCCCTGTATTCCACATGATCTAACCTTGCTCCACAAAGCACAAAGTTTAGATGTTCTGAAATAACTGTCATCATCTTAATACTTAGAAGGTAAGGCATGCAGCCCAAAAGTTAAGAAAATTTCCAATAAAAATTTTAGAAAGGGCAACAGAAATAAACTTATCTATCTGCTGTATTTTATTCTGAGTTGCATTAGTATAATTTCAATACTTTTTTCCCCCCCTCAACTCATTCATGGGATGAGGGTATCACTGGCTAAACCAGCAGTTATTTCCCATTCCTAATGACCAGAGGGCAGTTTAGAGTCAACTACATTGCTGTCGATCTGGAGTCTCATGTAGGCTAAACTGTGTAAGGATGGCAGTTTCCTTTCCTAAAGGGCATTTATGATTCAGATGAGTTATCTCAAACAAACTTCCTAACCTCTGACCTGCACTTGTAGCCAGGAAGGAAGCTATCCAGGTTAACCCTGTGAAAAATATTCAATCTGGTTAGCATCGTTGGATTCCTACCTGGGCCAAGGTTTCAGCCTCTTCACAGGCATTGCTGCTCCCAGCCTCTGAGCTGGGGTGAACTGGCCTCAATGCAGTATTTTGGATTTTGGGAATCTTGCCCCAGCTTCTGAAGATAAAGCTGTTATCCTTTCTCATCAGAAGAGTAGCAATCTGTTTACAGACTAGGAATTCTATGATAAAACTGCAAATTGGCATTCTATGACAAAAGAAGTGGAGTGACCTATTGTTATTTGTCTAAGACATGGCCTTTTCATTTTGCTGTTAAAATTTAGAAACATAGAAGATAGGTGCAGGAGGAGGTCTTTTGACCCATTGTACCCGCTCTGCCTTTATTATGATCATGGCTGATCATCGCATTCAATACTCTGATCCTGCCCTCCCCCATATCCCATGATCCCATTAGCCACAAGAACTATGTCTACTTACTTCTTGAAAAGATGTAATATTTTGGCTTCAACCACCTTCTGTGGCAGTGAATTCTCACCATTTTGGGTGAAGGAAATTGTCCTCATCTCAGTCCTAAAAGATTTACCCCTTATCCTTCAGCCTTGACCCCTGGTTCTGGATTACCCCACTATCAGGAACATACTTCTTGCTTCTAACCTGTCCAGTCATGTAAGCATTTTATAGGCTTCTATGAGATCCCTCCTCATTCTTGTAAGATCAAGAAAAAATCCCCAATATTAAAACATAGGCAAAACCCTGGATATTGGGCAGATGCCTGGACTTCTAAAAAACAAAAATGAAAGCAGGAATGAGTCTGTAGGAAATACACAAACAGCAGGCCTGGGAATGGAGATTGCTGTCAGCGACTGTTGTTTAGCCTGGAGTCTCAATTTGCACCTCCTCTCTAAAAGAACAATCAACCAAAACCAACAGACCCTCACCTAAGAAAGCTTTTACACTTTGGGTTACACAGCACAGGCAGTATGGGGCCTACAGAGATACTGGACATTCAACCTGAATCAAAATCCATTCACACACACTCTAATGATGGGAAAGTCAATTAACTTCAGAAACATACATCAGAAACACAATGAAAAGCACAGATTTGGCATGAAGATAGTGGGCCCACAAGCAGTATAATTGCCAGCCCTGATCTCAACTAAGAGAGCAATCTGAGAGTTTCCCAAATAAGAGCTACCACATACAGGCCTGTTCCAAACCCAGAGAACTGATGGCAGCTGGCAGTAGGATCAAAGACTGCCAATTTGCAAACCAACCAACACCACAAGTCCTCAGACACATGCTGAGGTGAAAACTGGGCTTGCAAAACCAGCATAATTAACTACAGAGGCCAGTATCCTGTCATCCTATATTTACACAGGTTCTAACCAACCAGCCCCTAGACTGAAGGGATCTTCTGAATGTCCCTGTTTATATCTGTCAGCACGATTTCCTGATTGGTCCTGGTTAACAACCCCAATCAAGAATCTCATACTCAATGAGATCCACCTGGCCCTGGGGGTCGCGCCTAAACTAGAGGAGCACCAATATCATGGCAGGGAGGTTTCTTAGTGCTACTTGGGAGCGTTTAAACTAATGAGATGGGCGGGGGGTGGCCTGGAAACAGAACAGTCGGTCAGCAAGTAAAATGACCGAGGTGGAATCGGAGACCAAGGCCAGTAAGACTAAAACAAAGAACAGACTTGGAGAGGTTACTGAACACGGCAAGTCAGGTGGTCTGAGGTGCATTTGTTTTAATGCGAGGAGTATGACAGGTAAGGCAGATGATCTTACTGCCTGGATTAATACATATAATTATGATGTTTTAGCTATTACAGAGACTTGGGTGAGAGAGGGACAAGGTTGGCAGATTAACGTTCTTGGATTTAGATGTTTCAGGCAAGATTTGGGAATCTTGGATGACAAGAGAAATTGAGAGCTTAGTCAAAAACAAAAAGGAGGCATACATAAGGTTTAGGAAATTGAAATAGGCAGACCCCTCAAAGAATACAAGTATGGCATGAGAAAACTCAAACAAGGACCAAAAGGGACCATGAAATGTCTTTGCCAAACAGGATTAAGGAATATCCCAAGCCATTTTATACATAGATAAGGAGCAAGAGAGTAGCTAGGGAAAGGCTAGGTCCACTCAAGGACAAAGGAGGGGATTTATGCATGGAGCCGGAGGCAGTGGGTGAGGTCCTTAACTTTGCAGTGGTACTTTCAGAGGATGGTGAGTCTTGGGAGGGGTATGTTGATATTCTAGTGCATGATAATATAAGAAAGGAAG